AAAACGTGCGCCCAGGTGCGGGCCCTGGCCAGTGTGCTGGGCCTCAGCGGCTGCGGCAGGCCAGCCAGCTGGAAGTGGGGGGGGGCATGTGTGGGGGCCCTGGAGCTCACCGAGGCTGTGTGCCTCCAAGACCCCGGTCAGGAGAAGAGCAGTCATTTCCAAGGAACCCTTGCCTGACTTCTCCAAACATCGACGGGCTGTTTTCCAGCCTCCTGTCAGCAACCTGGGCTTCCTGAGGACGGAGAGGCAGAGACACAGAAAACAGGCATGCAGCTTTCTGGAGGCTGGCTGCCGGCCTTTACCTGCCAGGATGCTCCCCAAAGGGGACCGTGTCCTAAGAGGGGGTCGACGACCCGCCCTGCTGCCGGGAGCAGGCACAGGGCAGGGCTGGGCAGGGCCGCCTGCCAGGTGGGGTGGCCCTCCTGGTCTCAGGGAGCAGAGAAAGCTCGGGTCCTTTCCGAGGGCTGAAGTTGCAACGCCCAGTTTGACAGGGCCCCATAGGCAGTGTGACCTGGGAGGCAGACCACGCGCAGAAACGTCACCCTGGCACGTCTTTGCTGTGTGTCTTTGGACAAGTTTCTGAATCTCTCTGGGTCTCTGCTTTTCATTAGTGAAATTGGGATGATCATAGTATCTATCTCAGGGGGTTGGTTTGAAGGTCCAGACCAAATACAGCCTTAAATGTTATCTGCTCATGCCACTGAGGCTCTGGGCATAGGAAAGGCCCAGCAAGCCTGCCCCAGGGGCTCAGAGAGTCAGCAGTGGCCTCTGTCCCCAAGCTCATTGCTGTCCACTGAGGGGCGCCTGTGCCAGGCACTGCATCCCCCCAGCTCTGCAGCTCTGTGGCTCTAGAATACCTCCTGGGGGGAATTCTGATGGGCTCAGCCAGGGCCAGCCACCGCGGTGGGATGGGGGCTGGGGATCAGCCACCCCCATACGAAGGAAAGCGGAGGTCCACTACTGGGAAAGAGAGAAAAGGCCACAGACGAGACATTGCGGAGCAGGGCTTCCCATAGAGGGAATGGGGTGTCATGCTTGGAGGCTAAGCAGTGCTGGGTACGGGGTGGCTGTAAAATGTTTCAGGGCTTACCGGGGTGGGGGAGAATGTAAAACATTTCTGGGCTCTGTATTGGTGGCATTTTCACCCAATCATTTTCATGGAACTTGGCTCAATGACAGGGCCCCATTTCCCACCTCCTGATTGAAGCAAAGTACGTGACCTGGAAGGACAATCTCACCCAGGCGCCTATTGAGTAAACCCAATTTACTAGAAACTGGAGTCGGCAAATGGATTCCAAGCACCTTCCACTTGCCAGCAGTGCCCTGGCGCCTCGAAGCTCGCAGAAGCCACACGCTGGGCTGGTGCCCTTTGAGGTCCCCCAGGCACCCAAGCAGAGGGTTGGGTTGCCTTGAGGCTGTGGGACGTGGCTGTGACCGGCTCCTCACAGGCCAGGGGGCATGGGGCTCCTTCAGTCACCCTTGGATATCAATCAAGCACCCACCCCACCTGGCCCCAGGCCCTGTACGAGGGGCCAGGCAAGAGGGAACTAGAGGGCCCTTGTGACAAACTGTGTGCTTCAGTGGAGAAGGAGACAAGTCTACAGCATGAGCAGCATCTTTACAAAATACTGAGCCTGGTCCTGCCGACCCTGATTTCCTGTCCCACCTTCTACCAGAGGTGCTGTTTTTTGACATTTGTCAAAGCTTGACATTCAAGGCTGACTCTGTGACCACATGCCAGCTCTGCTGTGCCCCCACCCTGGGTTGGCTTGGGAATGTGGAAATTGGTGCAGAACATTTAGATTGTTATGACATTCCGGAGCTGGCCTGGGCCTGTGCTGAGACGACCCCCTTTGTCACAGCCCTGGCATTTCCACGGAGACTTCCGGTAACCACAGGGCCAATGGATTCTTCTTACTTCAACTCCATCAATTGCTGAACATAATGTCACATATCAATTGTTTCCCAACCTGCTCGTACAATATTCTTACTTACCTGGAGCTTCCAGTTTGTTTAATTTTTCTGTATTGTCATTTCCCCCGTCAGAATGGTTGCTTCTGTGTTCTGCAGGGGCCTTTTCTGGAGGCTCCTCTCTGCAGCCCTGCCGCCTGCTCCAGAACGGCTCAGCAGGCCGATCCTCGGTGCTGTCCGGGTCTCTCACCTCCGCACGGATCGGGTTTGCTGGGCCTCGGCCCGCACGGCTTCCTCTGTCTTTGTCTTGCTTCTTGATTTTACCGGAGTACATCTTCAAGTCACTTCCTCACGTTACGCGTGGAAATTTAACGTCTGTGCCCTTGCATTTCTGAAGATGTTTAGGGTTCCTGCAATAGACTGCCGCATCTGGGGGCAGCTTCCCCCCTGGGCTGTTGGTCCCCTGCCTAGGAGGACCTTGTACCACCTCCTGCTGAAGAATGAGCAGGGCGTGGCTGGCGTGGATCCCCTCTGCCCCTGCCTGGGTAGCCCTGGTTTTCTGCTGGGGCGGCATGAGGCACGACGCAAGCTTAGCTGCCTCGGCAAAGGCGGAGGGGACAGTGAAGGGAGGCCCTACCTGGACTGTCAGCAGAGCAGACATGGAGACCTGGGGGCAGCCTGGGCCTATTCCTCCCCGTGCACGGCACCCCTACTCACCCTGGGCTTTGGACTGTCCTCCCTACTCCCCACACACATACTGACCTGGCAGAGGTAGCTTCCTGGGGGCCAGTCCATTAGAGACCCCCAAAGTACTGGAAGTGTGGGGTCACAAGGTACAGGAATCCGACTGTCAAAAAGGGTTGAGGGGGGCCTGGTAGAGTTGCTGGGCCTGGAGGTCAAGCCCCGCAGGGGCAGCTGGGCGGTGCAGTGCCCCTGTCGCCTCGGGGGCTGGGTCTGCTCAGCACAGGGTCGCCATTCTTCTGGGTGTGACAAGCTGACTGACCTCGGTGGAGGGTTGACTTGTGTCCCCTGAATTTCGTATGTTGACCAGGACCTCACAGCATAGCCTCATTTGGAAACAGGATCTTTGCCGATGTAGTTGGTTAGGATGAGGCCACACTGGGGCAGGGTGGGCCCTGATCCAACATCATGGTGGCTTTGTAAAAGGGGGACATTTGGTCCCAGACAAGCACACAGGTGGAGGCCCAAGAGTCTGGAGGCAGAGACTGGGCAATGTGTCTGCGGCCTGAGGAGCCCCAGGTCTGTGAGCAAAGCCCCCCGATTTGGGAGAGAAGCTGGGGCAGATTCTCCCTCACGGACCCAGAAGGATCCTGCCCTGCCGACCCTTTGACCTTGGGCTTCTGGCCAGGCCCAGAGAGGATGAACTTCTGTTGTTTAATCCACCTGGTCTGGGGTGCTTCATTACTGCAGCCCTGGGAGACCAGGCACTTGGGGTGCAGAGAGGAGGTCGAGGCTGCTCAGGGCTCCCCTTTCTCCACCAGCCTCCCACTGCTGCACCTGCCGCAGGCTCCATGTGCTGCAGTCCACGAAGCATGATGCCAGGGCTTCTGGGAACAGAGGCACAGCAGAGAAAAGCGCCATGAGCACAGGCGTGGCAGGTAGAGCCTTCCTGGGGCCGGGGCCTTGGGGCTCTGGTGAGCGTAGAAGGGCTGCAGCCTGTGGGCTGGCAGAGGCTCTCTGCCCTGTGGCACAAGCTCCTTGGGTGGTCGATGCAGAGCAGAGGTGATGGCAGAAGGTGGCAGTGCCATCCCGCTGGGCCTGGGGTGTGTGGGCAGTGCTGGCCCCTGACAAAGCTGCTCACGTATACCAGGAAGCCCAGAGTCACAAACCAACGGGGGTGGCCTGGTCATATCACCTCCTCAAGGGAGACTTCCCAGATTCTCCAGAGGCATGCGTTGGGGGCTCCCAAGTGTCCCTGGTGGCCCTCTAAGAAGTTGTCATTAACCTCGTCACCATTTCCCCACTGGGCTGAGATCCTCTGAGGGTGGGATCTGGACCCCAGACTTTGGCCCAGGTGGGCTCTGCAGGGTCCCTTGATTTGGCAAAGAGACCTGGCCTAGTCTGGGAATCTTCATGTCCCAGGGCCTGCCCAGCCCCCTGCCCAGGGGAATGTGGGAGAAGACAAGCTCCCTGGGAGATACAGAAGCCCTTTCCCAAAGAGCCCAGCCTAGCCCACCACCCGGCCTGGTGGTGCCTTTGCTGTGCGAGTGTGCGATCCAGATGCCCCCTGTGCACGGGCCGTGTCCCCAGAGCCCCAGCGCGGCCACAGGGCCGAACGTGAAACGTGGCTACCAAAGACCCTTTCAGTGGGAGGTGGCGGGGGGTGCTCCCATTTTTGCAGGAGGGTGGGGGTCAGCAGTGAAGCCCCGCAGAGCTGTAGCCAGTCATCATGAGACCAGAGGCTCACCTGCAGCTTGCTGCCACTACTGATGGGGAGAAGCCTGCGCTTGTAGTTAATCACTCTGCCTGCATCGTCATGACCTGCCACTTACACACTTTGACCCCCAGGGGACTTCTTGTCAGTTGGCTGCTCACTGCCCAGGCTCCCCTTGCAAGGAGCACCCCTCCCTCCCTCTCTGCTAATCAGCTCTCCCGGAGGTGGGCCCACATCCTCCTTCCTCTCTGACCATGGGCACATCACTTGCCTCTGTGAGCCATGGTCTCACCAAATGCAAACTGGGGTGTTAATGTGCATTCCTGCCTGGGCCCCTGGAGAATCAGATGATAGGAGGGCAGCAACGGGTAAAGCACAGCATGCCCCTCAGGAGAGCCCTGTGCTCGTGGGTCCTGGGGCTCCCGCCCCATCAGGGGAGCCCCGTGCTCACGGGTCCTGGGGCTCCCGTCTGGTCAGCTTGTTCTGGGTCTCAGCATCCTGACTCGAGGTGCTGGTGGACTGGTGTGCTGCTGTTGTGGGCGTCCCTGCCACGCCACGGCTGCATGGTTCTCCCACCACTTTCTATGCTGTGAGCGGAGTCCTCTCGGAACTGAACTGCAATGCAGGGCCTTCCCCCGAAGGCCTTCAGTTCAGCCTCCTGTATTTGGCCCCCAGCATTATCTGCATTTCACAAAGCATAACTCCCCCCAAGACTTGTGTGTAAGTCAGGGGACTCTGGGTGTGACAGAAATAAGACCAAACTAGCTAATCCAAAGGTTGACTTTATTGGCTCATGTAACAGAAAAGACTGGAGGTGAATTCAGGGCTTCAGGTACAGCTGGATCCAGGCGCTCAGCTCTGTCACCAGGACTCAGTCTTCTGCTTTAGTTTGAGGGAGGCTTGTGCTTCCTGGTGACAAGGACAGCTTGTACTGCTTCCCTTCTCAGCTGAAGAGAGAATGCTTCCTTCCTAATAGCTCTAGAAACAGACCCAAAGGAAGTGCCTGTACTGCCATGGGGCACGTGCCATTCCTCCCTCCTGCTACAGGGACAGCACACTCTGAGCAGCTGGCCTTGGTCACGAGCCAGCCTGGGAGCTGGCAGTGGGGTCTGCCCAGTGGAATAGAATCAGAGAGCATGGGGGTTGGGCTCCCCACATACAAACTAAGGTGCTCTGTCCTTAGAGGTGAGGGTGCTGGGTGAGTGCTTCAGTCAGAGACCTGGCAGGTGGCAGAGGGCCCACACCAACAGGGTGCTGGAGAGGGTCTGAGGAAGGGGCTGACTTCAGTGCATTGAGGAAACTAACAGTGGACTGTGAAGCAACCAGAAGTAGCCACAGGGGAATCAGGACCCCCCCAGGCCTGAAGAGCATTGCCAGACCCCAGAGAGGCTGTAGTCACAGCTGGGGGTGGGCGCAGCCTCGTAGAAGTTGCAGCCTATCCGGCCTGGCAGGCGGCGAGCTGGGAGTGAAGGCTTATGGCTCCTTGGCTGGTTCTCTCCAGGGGGCTATTGGCCAAACACAGCCAGAAACTGGAGGACAAGAGGCCCATGGAGTGGCCCCACAGGGCAGAGAGCCAGGTGACGCGAGGGCGGGAAGAGCAGAAGACTGAGAACGCACAGCCAGAGCTCGCCTCTCCAACCCTAGGCCATAAATCCAGCGAGAAATGTTCTCAGCCCATGTGAAAGAAACCATAAAACACTCCTGCGAGACACAAAAAAGACCCAGAATAGAAAGGTCAGGACGTTCCAACATCACCAAGATGTCAGCTCTCCCTAATTTAGGGTATAAATTTAATGTGATCCTAATAAAAATTCCAATGAATATTTTTTCATGGAGCCAGAGTTGATCCTAGAGTTCATATGGAAAAATAAACATGGGAGAATTGCTGAGAAAATGCTGCAGAGGAAGAGCTATGCCTGCTGGGTGCTGGCCCTAGTGGACACTGAACCTTCTGCACAGACCACCAAAGAGAATTGGCGCCGGGGTGCAGGGACAGACTCTCAGGGTGGCCGAGCAGGCGGCCCGGTGGCACAGGGGATTCTAGCATGGGACACAGAGGTGTCGCAATTCCACACAGCAAGCATGAGCTTTCAAATAAAACAGTTCAGGGACAAGTAGATATCATTTAGAAAAAGATAAAATTAGATCCATTTCTCACACAGTGCATAAGAATAAACTCACAAGATCAGAGATCTAAATGTACAAAGCTTAAATATACAAATGCCAGCAGCAAACATAGGCGAAGCCTCTCTGAGCAGAGTTTAGGGAGAGGCTTTCTGGTTGTGGGTAAAAATCCCAGATGCGATAAAAGCAAATACTGGCAAATTGATCTGCAAAAACCCCCATAACTTTTAAAGAAAAAAAAAAGCAACATTAAAGACAAAATAGGAGAACGTATCTGGAACTTACTTCATAGATAAAAGGTTAATGTTGAGAGGCATAGAACTTCTAAAAGTTGAGAAACAAACACAAAAATCATATAGAAAAATGAGCAAACTACATGAAAACAGTTCCCACAAAGGGACATACACACAAATGGTCCTTAGACATGTGAAAAGAGATGCACATCGAAGCCACGCTGAGATGCTATTTCCCATCCGTCAGATCGGCAAACCTTCAAAAGTTCAACACACGGTGCGGGCAAAGCTGTGGGGAAACGGCCTCAGACGTCGTGGGTGGGAACGCAAAGTGGTGCAGCCCTTCTGGAGGCGCAGCATCTAACGACCTGCACATGCATTCACCGTCTGACCCAGCAATCCCACTTCTAGGAATTTACCCTAAGATACACCCCAAGACTACAAACACATGCAGGCACAAGACTGGCGTCACAGCGTTATTTGTGATTGCAACACGGGGGAGGCCACACGTGCAACTTGATGCCAAAATAAAGGTAAAAGAAGCAAAATAAACAGGCAGGGTGACATCAAACCAAAAAGCGTCTGGGCAGCGAGGGACGCCCCATCAGCAAGATGAAAAGGCAGCCCGGGGGGTGGCGGGAACCCCGCAAACCGTCTGGGACCAGCCTTGCGCCCGTGTGCCTGTGCTTGTTGGGGGTGTGTCTTAGGGTAAATTCCTGTGAGTGGTCAGAGGGTAAATGCACACGTGGGTTGTTAGATGTTGTCCCTCCCCGCAGGGCTGCACCGTTATCTGCTAATCATATATCATCTGATGAGGGGTTAATATCCAAGATATATAAAGAACTCACACAACTCAATAGCCAAAAACAAAGCAAAAAACCCCAAACAATCTTATGAAAGAATGGGCAGAGGATCTGAATAGACATTTTTCCAAAGATGACCTACAAATGGCTCAGAGGTACTTAAAGGACGCCCAACACCACTGGTCATCAGGAAAGTGCAGATAAAAACCACGATGAGACACTGCCTCACACCTGTCAGGATGCCGTTAGCAAAAAGGCAAGAATAGGTGGTGTTGGTGAGGATGCGGAGAAAGGGAACCCAGTGCTCTGCTGGTGGGAGCATGAGTTGGTGCGGCCGCTGTGGAAAACAGCCTCAAGAAAATGAGAGATACAAACACCGTATGATCCAGCAATTCCACTTCTGGGTATTTATCCAAAGGAAATAAGAACAGGATTATTCTGTTATTCACAGAATAGCCAGGACACAGAAACAGCCTAAGCGTTCACTGACGGGTGAAGGATAGAGAAGATACAGTGCATAATATACACAGCGGAACATGACTCGTCGGTGGGAATGAAGGAAGTCCTGCCACGCGCAACAGCCCGGACGGACCCGGAGACAGACATACTGCCTAGTATCCCTTACATACGGAATCGGGAAAAAAGTCACACTCAGAGAAACAGACAGGAGAAGGGGGGCTGGGAAGGGCTGGGGTGGGAAATGGGGGGCAAGGGTCGAAGGTCACAGACTTCATCTGTGAGATGCACTTGGTCTGAGGATCTACTATAAAACATGGGGGTATAGTTGAGAACACTGTACCGCTTGATTGAAATTTCTAATTTTTAAAAGGTCTCATGAAAAGAAAAAAAATAAATATGTGAGGGGCCGATGTGTCCCTTAACTGGGTGGGGGAATCCTCTCGCGAAATATAATGTACATCAAATCCTCACGGTGTACGCCTGAAATACCTTACGATTTCCTTTACCCGTGAACCTCAGTGCAGCTGCAGAAAGCCCTCCGTGGGCACGACTGGGCAGTGGGCGCGTGAGCCGTGCGCACCCGCGGTGGGGGCCCTGCGGCGTGGACGCGGCGGCCGGTCTCCGAGAGGCGAGTGCCGGGCCGCTGTGAGCCGGCCGGGCCTGCGGGCAGCGGGGAGGCTCGGGGGCGCGTGTCTGGCGGCCTGTCTGTCTTTAGCAGCGGGACGTGGAAGGATGAACAGGAAGCAGGTCCCTTGGAGCCCGGAGGCCGTTCTCCCGCGTTCTGTGCAGTTTTGACCTTCGGGGATGTTGATATTCTGTAGTCACCTCAGTTCCTTTAACCAGGGTGAGAGGACAAGTGAAACGGAAAGCACACTGGGAAGGAAGAAAACTGAACTCGGCTGCATTTCACACGCGGAAAAGGAGAGGAAATGAAGCACCGCCCAGGTAGCTCCTGAGCTCCGCTGTCTACGCCCTCGGCCCGGGGCAGGGCGGGGGGACGTGAAGCAAGCCCAGACCCCTTTCAGCCTCTTGGAGTGAAGTGAACAAAGCAACCTGCATACCCTGTGGGTGTCTAGGGTGGCACAGATGGGCCACGGTGCCGCTGTGTTGGAAGGAGAGACAGGCATGGGGCGGCAGGAAGCAGCTCTGTGGGCTGTGGAGTCAGAGCCCTTGGGTGGGCTCGTGGTTCCCAGCATGTGCACAGGTGGTGCATTTGCACATGTGTGTGCCCACTCGGGTGTGTGCACCCACTCGGGTGTGTGTGCCCACTCGACTGTTTGTGCACCCACTTGGGTGTGTGTACACAGACTCAGGTGTGTGCGCATACTTGGGTGTGGGTGCGCACAGTTCTGGGTGTGTCTGCTGAAGGTCCAGAGGATCCTGTCTGTGACACCTGGCACCCAACCTTCCCCACTGGAAGGACCTGGGAATTCTCAGAAAAATGGCTGGTTTCGGGCTGGAAGAGGGAAGCACAAAATGAGCATGGACCACCTTGTTATGACAGGAAGGAAGGAGGTGCTAACAGTAAGGTGGGGGGCCACAGAGACTCAGGGCAGCCTCAGTGACGAGGCTCCTGCTGGCCAAAGTGCAGAGTGACATAAGCACCCAAATAACGAAGCACATGGGTGAATTATAAACACACACGCTGATATTCGATGATAGGTAGGTAGGTAGATGATACGTAGATAGTCGATGGATGACCGAATGACAGAGGGCAGATAGTTGCGACAGTGAGCTGTCCCTTCTGTGGTTGCTAGATGCCGACTGATTAAATGTGGGGGAAATGCTGGGTTTGAAAATCAATGTTTTGCAACTAAAGACTGAATTAGGAAGAGCTGGTCACGGGTGCTAAATCTAGGGGGAAAATTGGATAAGAAGTCGACTATTTCCATTGTCTTCAAGTGTCTCCCTTCAAGACTATTTATTAGTTGCAAGGAAATAAAGCGGAACCATGCAGCGGATAAATCAGACCATTCCTTGACTGGCTCATCAAATATAACATTACTAGGGAGAGGCAGGCGGGCTCCATGTGCTCTGGACACGGAATCTGGAGGAGACGTGTCAGCTGCGTGGCACTGCGACTGGAAGCGTGCTGCCTGCTAGGGCGCATCAGGCAGACCCCCAACGAGCCCCATTCTATTACATAAAGCACTGTATTCTTCAGACATGTCAGTGCATGGAAGGCCAGCTTTGGAAATGCTCCGGGTGAAAGGTGACAGGGACAAGACAAACGCTGCGCACGCTCCTTGAGTGGCCCTGGGCTGGAGTGGGTGGGCCACACATGGCCTGGCAGGGCCAGCTGGAGAGTGGGAGTGTGAACGGAAGCTAACGGTGCCACAGCTGATCATTTCACTGGGGCCGTGTAAGACAGTCAAAGAGTCTCTCAGCTCTTTAAGGGTTAAGGGCTATGATGCGCACAGCTTGACCTTCAACTGTTGAGGAAAGAAAGTCACTCCTGCCAGCACGCCCAGTATGGACAGAGAGGGGGAGAAGGCGGAGGAGGAGGGAAGGGGAGACAGAGCGAACCAGCCGTAAAATGAATGTGGTAAGTGGTAGCAGTAACTGAATCCAGGTAAGGTATAGGGTGTTCTTTGTACTGTTCTTATTCTTATGACTTTTCTGCAGTTCGAAATGATTTCCAGGTGAAATTAACCAGCTGCTGTCCACCAGTGTCTACGTGAGGGGCTCAGACACACAGTGTGTAAATCTCTGCTATTTGCAACCAACCCACACCTCCTACCCAGCACTCCCTACTTGGGGGCCTTCAGCTAAAGGATGCCGAAGCCCTGCACTGTGATAACGGTAGAACTTTTGTAGTAAAAACAGCAAAACCCCACTGTAGCAACGAGCCCCTCTGTGCACTGCACTTAACAGTTTCTAAAGCATTTGTCAGACCCTTTTTGATCTTCACAGCCCCTATGAGATGTACTGATAATGGACAGAATTCATAAACTATGCCCCAATAAAGTTGTAAAACAGTTTTAAAAGGGGAGCTTCATAATATTTATTTTGAGGGCTGTGGTGAGGGTGAAATGGAATCAGAGCTGTAAGCCTTGGGAATTCTAAAGCAGTTTCTCAAACTGTTGCCCCGCAGTCCCTTGGATCAGAATCAGCCGGGGAGCCGGTGGCATGCAGATGCCTTGGTACCACCTGGATCTGGGCTGCAGGCTGGGAATCTCCTCGCTGGCAGGCTTCCGGGGGATGCTGGTCCAGAGGTGCAGAAAAGGCGGGCAGAGACAGGGTGTCCCTGCCTCTGCCCCCAGGAGCCTGGCCAGTCCTCCAGATGCCTGGGCTGGAACTTGGAGCACAGCCGGGAGCAAGCCTAGGGGGCAGGGCCGGGGGCGCAGGACCTGGGGTGCACAGGCCAGGGAGCAGGGCCGGGGGTGCAGGGCCTGGGGTGCACAGGCCAGGGAGCCAGCTGGCATGCAGGACGTCACCCTGCATTCCACCCCTGGGGGGTGCCGGACGCTGCTCACATCCCTTAGTACCTGATTTCTCCCCTGAGAAAGTAGGGTCAGCAAGCCGTGGCCCCTGGCATGGGCTGCGCACCCTGGGCCTGGGACCTGGTGTCCCTGTGGCGTTGAGGCTGGAGAATGGTCATCAGAAAGGGCTGGGCCTGGCTCAGGGCCTTTGCTCCAGCAGTTCCCAGTTCTTACCTAACACACAGAAGGAAGGTCCCTTTATTTTATTTATTTGTAATTTCTGATTTTGGTAAAATGCACATAACACAGTTACCACATTAATGATTTTTAAGTGTCCAGTTCAGGCAGCCATGTAGCTAAAGGGTGGAGGTCGTAGGGGCGAGGTGGCAGCAGGTTCTGATCACAGAGCTGGAGAAGGACAACCACAAATGGAGGCTGCTCACCGCCCCGGGCTCTGGCACCAGGGCCACAGGCAAGCAGCGGACCTGCAGGTCCACGTGTGTCATCAGGGTGCAGCCAGCCTCTCTGAAGAGGAAAGTAACACAGCTCAAAATTCTCCTGAGTCGTCTCATGCAAAGGGCAGCCACAGCCCACAGCCATAGGCCACAGCCCACGTCCCACAGCCCCTGCACTCTGGCCGCCCAGGCCCCAGGCCACGACCCACAGCTCCCAGCCCATGGCCCATGGTCCACAGGTGTGC